TTGCAAAGAACTAACTGAGCTAATTGGAAATAAACTTAGAAATGCAAACAATATAATCTTCGTTAATCACAAATCTTAAATAAATTGATCTTACAAGGATTAAATTAACGGACTGGTTTTATATTTTTAACATTTCTAGAAAGGGGACATCATGTGCACAGCAGGGACATTTAATTTCCCTGGGAAAAAACCAGCAAACTTCTTTAATTGAATCTTGAGCTAAAGAGAATAGATCATGGGTCCTTTCTTCATTCTCACTGTGATTTCTTCTCACTTTGTTTTCCTGAGTGCTCTCTTTAATCCACTAATAATTTTTCTAATTCTATTCTAGGGAGCTCTGTTGTTGAGCGAGAAGACGTACCAGCCCATTTGGTGAAAGACATACGTAACTATTTTCAAGTGAGCCCTGAATACTTCTCCATGCTTCTAGTTGGAAAAGATGGAAATGTAAAATCCTGGTATCCTTCCCCAATGTGGTCCATGGTGATCGTGTATGATTTAATTGATTCGATGCAACTCCGGAGACAGGAAATGGCCATTCAGCAGTCACTGGGGATGCGCTGCCCAGAAGATGAGTATGCAGGCTATGGTTACCATAGTTACCACCAAGGATACCAGGATGGTTACCAGGACGACTACCGTCACCATGAGAGTTACCACCATGGATACCCTTATTGAACAGAAATATGTAACCTTAACTCCAGTCAGTTTCCCCTTCATCTGTTAAAGCCACATGTGGCCAGCTACATAAAGGAGTTCTGCCTACATTCCACACTGCCCACTACATTCTCTTCCTTTTTCTTTCTGTGTTCTTCCAAGATTAAATAATAGCAAACCTTGGCCTACTCATGAGTTGTTATTGAAGCCTTAAGTCATAAAGACATTTGATAAGAATTTGTTTCTCTAACTGGAGGGGATCTGGTGCTGAATAATGGTTACTGAAAATTGATATTTTACTTCTCTTACATGATGGACATGATTTGGAATACAAAATTCTATAGAATAAGTATTTATGTCTGTCTTTTACTTTTTTAGTATTCATTGGTAAGTGAAAACTATGATCAAGAAAATTAAAGATCACAGCACATATATTTCAGGACACATCTGACCAACTGGGGCAGACAGAAGAGATAGTTTCTTGAGTCTGCAGG